GGTCTACTACATCTACTGCAGCTCTCTGTTTTTCACTTACTCTGTGTCTTGTTTCAGGGAGTCTCTGCAAGTCTTTCCACTTGCTCTTTCATGCCCAAAGCATGCTGTCCCCCTGTTCTCCTTCTCTTGAATTGAGGGTTCCCATTTGCTCTTTCCCAGCACGGAGACTGCATCCGTGATACAGATCCCTCCTTCTCCAAGGCAGGGTCTCCAGGATGTCTTCAGCCACAGGTTCTGTGTGCCTCCATGGTTTGCCTTGGCTTATGTTTCCCTTCCTTGTTTCCTTGCCTCCTTGTTTCCCCATGCCAGAACCAAAGTCTGTCCATTCCTTTGCTTCTCTGGTTTTTTTTTTTTTTTTCTTCTTATGCCACTGTTTTAGGTGCCACCAAACTCTAAGTTGGTTTTGGCCTCTGCTGTCCCTGTCATTATCACCTCTCAGTCTTCCCATGTGCCGCATATTATGTGTCTCTCATTCCCTTCTTCCTCATCATATTAGATTTTCTTATTTCAGTGAGTTATATGAAGTGGCTGGTGGCACAGACTTAATACACACACAGTTTTCCAGGGAAGAGGGTAGCTGCTGGGATAATGAGATACAGGCTTTGCATGGAAAAACAGATAATGATCTTGAAGCAACATGCAGGCAATCTGTTATTTCAGTGGGTTAACTGCGGACAAGGAACTGTTGTGGACCGTGATAATTGATTTTATGTTATAGACAATCTCTTTTCCCTTCTGCAGAATGAGTGGGAGAAGAATAAGTTGCTAGCTTGCCTGGGAAGGCCAGAGAATCTGTCACTCGCCAAACCAGTTAGAAATTCAGTAGTAGTGCTGCATTGGGAAGCCAGGTGGGTTAAGTGGAAAGGAAGGAAGAGAGCAGTATGCCACCTGAGGCCTCATTTGGGAAGCAGAAGAGCCTAAGGACTAGAAAAACAAATAGTGAAGTAACAATTTTTCAACAGGAAGCTGGGAGGAGGCAGGGATTTTTGCCAGCAGGAAGTATGATGTTACTAGTGATCCCTGGGGGTGCTGGTTGACAGCCGGCTGAATATGAGCCAGCAGTGTGCCCAGGTGGCCAAGAAGTCCAATGGCATCCTGGCCTGTATCAGAAATGGTGTGGCCAGCAGCAGCAGGGAGGTGATTGTTCCCCTGTATATGGCACTGATCAGGCTCCACCTCGAGTACTGTGTTCAGTTTTGGACCCCTCACTACAGGAAAGACATTGAGGTGCTGGAGTGTGTCCAGAGAAGGGCAACCAAGTTGGTGAGGGGCACAAGTCTTATGAGGAGCGGCTGAGTGAACTGGGCCTGTTTAGCCTGGAGAAAAGGAGGCTGAGGGGAGACCTTATCGCTCTCTACAACTACCTGAAAGGAGGTTGTAGCGAGGTGGGTGTCGGTCTCTTCCTTCAGGTGGCTGGAGACAGGACAAGAGGAAATGGCCTCAAGTTGAGGCAAGGGAGATTTAGGTTAGATATTAGGAAAAAATTTTTTACTGAGAGGGTTGTCAAACATTGGAATGGGCTGCCCAGGGAAGTGGGCAGTGCTCCATCCCTGGAGATGGTGACTCAAAAAGCGAGTGGATGGGGTACTTCAGGACATGATTTAGTGGGCATGGTTGATGGTTGGACTTGATGATCTTGAAGGTCTTTTCCAACCTAAATGATTCTATGATTCTATGATCCTCAGGGAGAACTCTGTGCTCACCTCTCAGAGGGGGAGTGTATGGGTTGTTATTGTTCTGTGAAAGAAAAATGGGTGAGAAAGTGGCCTAAGCTGCTCCAGGGCACCTGCAGAAAGGTGATGTTGTTACCCTGTTACTCCTTCTACTGAGCTGTCCAAACTGAAGGCTGGGAGAAAGGTCATCACCTTTAATTTTTTACTGTTCCCCCTACTGATCCTAGGGTAGTCATCAGTAAATTGTGTAAAACATGTTGCTTGGTGTTGCACAATCTGCAGTCAGATCCCTGGTGGTTGGTTCAAAGTATAGTGTAACTAAAGCTGCATAGTAACCTGTCAAAACTTGTAGATTTACAACAGTGAATTTCAAGTTTGAGATTTATGTATGTTGCGGTGGGTTCTAAAATATGAGACTAACTGGTTTAGAATACTTTGGATAATTTCTATCTGTCATGTAAAGAACTTTGAGCTACAAAATATGTACAGGCTCAAAGGTGTGCTTGCTTACTGGAAGCTCACTAATTGATAGCATCTGAAGTGATATGCTTGGAGCACTTTCGGTATTTGCTTTTGAGTGCCTTTCACTCAAAGCAGTATCAAAGCTCTACAGGGGGTTAGGTACCACAGTCTAGACTGACTTTTGACCTGGAGCTATTGAGAAATGGCTGTAGCAGGATGGGAAGCAAATATTTTATGGGGCCAGCACCTCTCATGTGAGGGATTCAGTGAAAAGTCAAAGGTGAGGCGCTGTAAAATGCTTAAAATTTATTAATCATTGTTACTTCTTTTCATAAGGAACAAAAATAAAACAATATTCTGAAACAAAACAGAAGAAGAAAATATACCACACCCAGATGACATGACTAAGACTAAGAAATGCGATAACATTAATTCCGAAAGAAATGGCCCAATAAATCAATTTTCCAAAACCAAAATAAATAGCAATGGTTCAACTTTTAAAAGCTTCCTAGGAAAGAATTTACATTATTATTATTATTATTATTATTATTATTATTATTATTTTACAAAAATCCTTCATATGCCCCTGTTGGGGGAAAATATATATATATATATATATATATATATATATACTTCTTCTGTAAACAATTAACCACAAACAAAAAAATTTCCATATTTTCATACAGTTACTATGCTGATGGTGTTATGTAAACAAAGAGTAGTGTGCAGCAGCTTCTCATGACAGGATTTCTTTCTTTTTCTCATGAGATTATATAGGGAAATATGCCTATCATAAACTGTTCAAAATATTGGAGTTTATAGTTTTGAGAAGGTATGGCTTTCTGCTAAGTTTTCCTTAATGCAAAAAGAAAAATAAAGAAACAGAGAGCTACAGTTTTCCTTGGGTTTTGTTTGTTTGTTTTCTGGACTTTAGTTTTTGATTTGTCTCAATGAACTGGAATGAAAATGTCATAAAAAAGGTCAGTGTACATCAATGGAAATATTAGATATTGCCAAGTGTCTATATTATGCCACCACAGGCAAGCTTCAAGCCAGAAAAGAATGTTGTTCTCATAACAGACTTTGTGCAAGTGTAAATCCAGCTCTCAGTCTTATGGTACAGCACTTCTCAGAAGACAAACTAACAGAAAATGTCAAAATAACCTTATGCTGTACCTCTGAAGGTGTAAAAGAAAAGACCTGAAAAACAATGCGGGATATATTAGTAATGAAAACTGAAATAATATAGATGGACATACTGAGTTTGTATGCAGAAAATATCACCTGTTCATCCAAAATTTTAGCTGCTTTCAACACTTTTGTATTTTGTCAAAGTGGGTTTTTTTTTAGTCTTATGTTCAACCCTTGTTTTACTTCTTCTCTCTAGTTCTAATTTTAGACATTCACTTATTCCTGAGAGGCCTTTATCTGGTTCGTTGCCTGCTGGGTGCTGACTTGGGGAAAGCACTCAGCGCTCACACAGCTGCATTTCTCCACATAGGTGTATGAGTGATCAAAGTAGGTTCCGTCACTGCACATCAGAGTCACCTTTCTTTGGCTGGTCTTGATTTCCTGACAACATGAGCATTTATGTTCCATTGTGTTCGCCTCTGGAGAATATCTGATTGCAAAACCAACAAAAGAGAAAGATTCAGAAATTATGTGAGAAATACCACTGCCCGTCCCAACCATTACTAAATATAACCAAAAGTTGTGTGCTTGAATGTAGGACTATTGCTTAATATTACCATTCTTACAGTGAAATATAAGTAAATTGCTTCTCATTGTAAAAATGGGTGGACCTAGCTCTTCATTCAGTCACAGAAAAAGTAAATTAATTAATCCAGATCACATATTAAGCCAGTCCAAAAAGAGAGAATAGCGAGAAACAAATAACCTCACTTTCACATGGGCAAAATCAAAATTCGAGTCTATTCACTATGACACTGAAGAGGCTGTTAAAACATTCTGAGTCTTGACGTAATTAAGCTAGTACAACATCATGTCTGTTAAAAATTCTAGTTAGCACAATGCAAAGAGCTGATGACTGGGTGGATGTTGGACATACTAGAAAATCCCTTGTGATTTGCTTTATATAACTAGTATGAAGAGTATAAGACAAGAGACCACAATTATCTTTTATAGCACTTACCGTGAGTAAGCATCACAGCTGCCTTCACAGTATGTCATCTCAACAGGTGCAGGAGATACACATCCATGGTATTTGATGACAGTAGAAGTATTGTGCTTCATACAACCTGAAGTTGTCACAAACCAAGGGAAAATAGGTTAAAATATATGTGCGTATAAATAGGTATCTGTGTATGATAGACAGTTTGTAGTAGAAAACTGAGATGGATGGAGCTGAAATAGGAAATTAGGTCACAGTGCATTTCTCTTTAATTGCTAAGGGCCAAATGATGACTCTTGCTGCTTGTCAATGAATTAAAAATTCCCTTTTGCTTATGCAACTTTGGTGCAGGATGCAGAAATAAAGAGCAGTACTGTGGTAACTGCTCAATGCACACCTACCTCCAAGGACTGGCTTCACTTTCTTCCTTAAAGAGAATGTATCTATGCAAGTTGGAGAATTGTCACAGTCTTCTCCCTCCCACAAAAAGGCTAACATTTAGCAGTAGGGGATGGGAAAGTTCACCATATTCCAAGGCCCTAAAGTGAGTGATGGAAATGTTCTGTTCCTTTCTTTTCCCCTCTGTTTCTTTTTTCACCCCAGTGTGAGGCAGTGGTCCCAAACTTGGTCTGTTCATTTCTTCTGTCTATGCATCTACCATGTAAGGTGGACTAATAAACCTAATAAGGCACATACTGTCATTACTTGCTCTTAACAAAATTATTATTACTTACTCTTCAGTTTTACTTGGCACTCCTTACAGCAGCCATCGTCAGATAGCTTGATGTCATCCTTGAGTGGGAAAACAGAAAAAGATAACTAAGGTTTCATATCTGCATACTAAAGCAGAGACTTTCCCTTCTTCCTAAGTTTCTCTGGCACCAGAAAGTTTTTGTATTGACATGGAATCTATTTTCAAGCAAGGCTAAATATTAAGGGCACATAACTACTTCAATTCAATACTAATAAGGGTTCTTTGAAAGCTGACAATTGAGGGGGACTGGAACTGCTTTGCTGTCAGAGTTCAGTAGTAAAATTTCAGAAATAAAGCTTGTAGCACATGTGGGATATTCTGAGTGACCAAAGTCAGTACAGGTGAAGGATTATGTCAGACAGGGTAACAAAATTAATGAAATAACTGACTCCTCGGATGTGTGGGGTTGTTTTTAATCTACCCTGAGCTGTATTAAGTTGAATGATGATGTGAACTGAAGTAGCTTATTTTCCTTGACCTTGGCTCTCAATAAGTGAATTCTAAAAGAGAATTTATAATATTAAGTAGTTCAGGAATAAAAATCCCATTATTTTTCAATAAGATTCTTGCTTCTAGGTCACCTGATGCTTTTAGATATCCAAAACATTATGCTGTATCCTTTTCTCTAATGCTCAATCCTCCATGAGGATTGATATATCACCCATTTTAATTTTGGTGTGCTTTTCTGAAATGAAAGTTGATGTGGACCAGATTCAGAGAGGATTAAATGAGAGCTACATCCTGTGTGATGTTTCTGCTAGGTATTTGCCTTGGACACCACGATCCTTCTATCGCTGGTGTTAGCCACTGCAACCTGTTCAAACATGAGAACTGGTAGAAGAGTACTTACTGGATCACAGTCATCAGGGTTAAAGACAGGACAGCTTTTCTGTAAAAGGACTTGAATGAACTGGTCATCATGTTTTTCACATGTGTAAGTTGTACAGTTATCACCAGGTGGGTTCCAGAATTCTCCAACCTGAAAGCAGTTAAAATTAAAGTGAATAAAAATCTTCTTACATAAAAATGAAACACCCCCCCCGCCCAGTGTCTTATTGCTGCCTATTGTGGTTTGATTATTCTGAACAATTTCCTTGAATTTCAGCTGATAGTTACTTGTCGTATTATCATACTGCTGTAAGTGTTTTTCATTAGCCAAATGAAGAGGCTGTATTTTTATCTGGATATGGACATGTTTTTTGTGTGAATAGGATAAGTATGTGGACTCATTTGGAAAAATTAATTTGTGTTTAAATGGTTTTCTCATCAGAATTTATGTGTATGTCCATTCAGAAACATGGCAGGATTTCTTGCTGGTTTCACTGACTCATCCTGTCCTAAAGCTCTTAGCTAACTTGAGATTGGCTGTTTGGAGCAGAAAACCGCCTCCACAGAGAAAATTATCCTTTGAGCAAAACATGTGCTATATTTTCAGACCTGAAGGCAAATAAGGGCCCATAGCTTTCATCTATGTATTTTTCTATGCTGATTTCTGAAAGCCATTGTTCAGTATCACAGTTGCTTCCAGAAGTCTTAGTTAGAACTGGAGTTTCATGGCTCAAGGTACTGTTCAAGCTGTGTGAGACAGTCCAGCCCTTGCCCAAATAAGCATTTGTCTAACATAAGAAAATATGCAGCAAATAAATGATGTAGACAAGGAGAGGAAAGAGTGCAAAGACTAGCAGAGTTCACCAGAAATGAGCTAAAACAGGGATAGGTACCTGGAGTACACGTGTAATGTCTCCCACAGTTACTATACAAGCTGCTGCCTTGCACGTGCCGCAGCACTGTCCAGGTTTCTTTGTATACTTATAACCCTGTTTTGAAAGAAATAGACAGGAGATGACATTGAGTCAGGACACTGACCTTAACAGGTGGATATTTGAGCTGAGTGGAGTAAGAATTACTGACAGCAAAATAGCACTCACCGGTGGGCAGTCTGTGTCACAGACAACAGGCTCACACTTGACAGTAGCGTGGTGAGGCCTTGAGTAAGAGGATTCATAGCAGGTGCATTCTTCACAGGGGCCTGAGGGAATGACAGCTCCAGGCTAGGGGAAGTCAGAAAAAAGTCATTATTAGTCAGTAAAAGCAAGTTACTTTGTGTATGTACATCACAGGTAATACAAAGCTGAGCTATGTATGGGCTAAACTATCCTTAAATACAATTTTCATTGTTTTATTTAAGCGAGTTTCTGTTGTTGGTAATATCCATTTTGGAATTAAATTCTGCTAATGCAGAAAGGAAAGCAGAAAATGCTTTTGCATGTAGGGAGAGTGTTGATATGCTGACCTTGATTAAATAATAAAGAATGTTTTATCTCAGGCCTTTCTGCAAAATATGGTCCATGATAGGAGTCTCAAAACCATTGCATTGTGAACCTTTGTGAAGGTGTATTTTTATAGTGAGTTACTCTGTGTACTTACTGCATAGTAGGTTTCATTGACTACACAGCCATGTCCTGTAAAGAAGGAAGAAATACGGTGTCATAGATGTGTAAGTTTTAAGAAACAGAAATATGTGAAAAAACTACAGCTTTGTTGGCCCAATATAATAACACAGCTAATTTGCATATTTTTCTTTTAAGGTTTTTGTATTCATAAACTTAGAAAAATATAGCTGTGAATAACACATGAAGATGGTGCATAGTACTTACTGCATTCAAAGGTAGGACAGCATTTTCCAGGCTGCATTACTGTGACTACTTCCTGTCCCTCTAAGCACTGGGGAGTGACCTCAGGGCAGAGGCTAGTGTTGCAAACTGTTTAATGTAAGAAAGCATAGAAAATAATGAACTGAGAATTTTTAAATGAAAGTAATTTTGTTTTGCATGAACTTCACAAGTTTTCCCATGGGGCAAATATGGTGTTGTTTACACAAGCTAGTTTAATGACTAATTCTGTATATTTGCCTAGCTATTTTTAAAGTGTGTGGGCTTTTCTATAACCTTTGTAAAACAAAGCATTGTCTGAGAAGAATAGTGTGGTGATTGCCGGAAAGAGATACTTCCAAAGAGAAATTTGTACCAGTTGGGAAATCTGATGACTCTCAGAGGTTCAGGAACTTTCTTGAGCAATTTTTAAATGTTCAAGACTTTTTCTTTTTTAAGATTTTTTTTTTTTATATTGGTCTTTGAAACAGAAAATGTTTTTGAATATTATTTCAGGTCATGGCAGCATTAGTGTTTTCAGTGTTAAATTATAGGAGATTTTCAGTTACTTTTCTGTGTCTAACTATGTAAAATCTTTTCATCTTTGAATTTGTTCTCTGCAGGCATCTAGTAAATGCTCTGCAAGAAGGTCCTAAGAAGGGGATGAGGGAGAAAAGCATTATGAAATCAAGGCAAAGTATTAAAAAATGAGAAATTATTGCTGTAGTTCCTCAGAATGAATACAGTATATTCCTCATGAAAAAGAACTAAGACAGTACTTACAGCACTCAGTCCTGGTACAGCATGGATCTTCTGGTATCGGTATCTGAACAGGCATGTAACCTGGTTTGTCACAAAATACTTGCTGTGTCAGAGAACAGTTGTGTTTTGTGCAGTGCACTTGAAGAGTATTTTTGTCACAGACACATTCCTGGCAATCTTTTGTCCATTTTTCTCCTGGCTACATAAAAAAGAAAAAAAAGGAGGAAAAAAATTATATATAAATGCAAACAAAAATCATTCTATTTGTTTCTAGTTGACTTATTCATGGATACAGTGATACCTGATTACATCAGCCTTTTCATATTTCTAGTATTTTTAGATTTTATAAGAAACCCTCAAACTGAAGCTAATTAGGGGAAGATAATGGAAACCACTGAAGGTTCCGAGCATGTTCACACAGCTATCACTTCCTATTTATTACTAGTGTTAGTGTGAGTGATATAAGAGGTTTAAAGGAGAAGTGATTGAGCTTTGCATTCATTTTTTAATAAGTAATTATCATATGACATACTTATTTGCACATTAGGTTACAGAGAGAAATTTCTATAATTTGTCTGCAGCTGAGGAACTAAGAATGTGGACTATCAATATTATCAGCAACAGGTAATCTGTCCCTTCATCTCTAGTAACTTCAGTGCCAAATTTGTGGAAATAAAAGCAGCATATATGCCAAAGTTCCACTGCTACCATCTATCTCTTTTTTTCTCTTTCTCCTTTTTTTTTTTCCAGTATGTGAGGTGATGGTTATTGAAAGAATATCCCATCACTTACTGTTAAATTTTTTAGGGAGTAATGTGGTTTCTGCTCTGGCACTTGTAATTATTTTTAAGACTAAAAGGGAACAAACATTTGAAAAAAAGCTAAAGTCTCCCCCAACCTAAGCAAAACTTGGTTTTGGGAAACACTAAATATCCTCTTGCTTCACTTGTCTGTGCTTGATAAACCACACTAATCGTGATACTTACCCATCTGGATACTCCATTTGATTCCCTACAAGCTGGAAAGAAGAAGAAGAAAAAAAAAAAGAATGGAGATTTACACCACAGAAAACTGACATAAAGGAGTAAATTTGTGCAGTTTTAAATACAAATACTGTGAAGATAAAACTAACAAGAAAATGAATATGCAGACTAGGTCTTGAAATGTAGAATTATACCATCTTGGTAGGTCTCATGTAAGGAAGGAAGATGGGAAAAAAAGTAATGTTGATTATTATTTGATTTTTAGATGGGGAGTCGAAAGGAACTTAAAGAGGTTGATTTGTCCATGATCTGACCATGTAGAAGCTGGCAGTAGAACCCAAGCCTCCTGACTATCAATCCTGATCCCTATTTATTCCCCGAACTAGCTACGGATTACTTACAGCATTCAGAGACACAGATGTTGCTGTCTTTACTCAGGAGTGACTTTCCTTCAGGACAGAAACATCCTTCAGTTACTCCATAGCCAGGAAGCTCAACAAAGCTAGAGTGGGAGGAATGTATGTGAGTGCAATGTTTTTGCAATGAAGCAGGAAACAGAGCAGCATATGTAGAAGGCCACTGTGTCAGATACAAGGGAGACAAAAGAATTTCTGAACTGCAACAGGAAGACTATATTCATAGAGCTGATTGATATTTATAAATCTTGAATAAATTATCCAAATTCACAAGACATTTCATTATGAAGTAACTCCATTTTCTAAGGAAAGTAGATAGGTAAAAATAGAAAAAAAGAAATATATAAGCAGTTGTTTTGGGGTGGTTTATTTTCTTTCCATACCTTGGGTCACAGGTAGCAGGATTAATGGGCCCACATGACTTGTATACTGTGCTTCCTGTACAGTTGTATGCTGTATGGAAAAAGAAGAAAAAAGATCAAGAATTGACAGTAGATGCATTTTTTGCAGCAAAAGTGACTACAGCTTTGCCTTCTTCATCTGCAGCTTCTGTAAGGACATCACTGCATATTTGTAGACAGTAGTCAAGTGTTATATGTAAGATGTGTTTACTGAATAATTGCTACCATTTCTAACACACATTTTTGAGTTCTGGAATACTTACGGCATGTATTGTTAGTCTTTCCTCTCCAGTCAATGCAGACACCTCTAGCAGCACACTCTGTAGCATACATCTCCAAACTGGCACACTGCATGTATTCATCAGCTGTGCGACATCCATCAAAAACACAGCCTTTGAAAAATGGTTCTGGTGGTATCACATCACGGCATTCTGCAAAAATCCTGCAGACAGAAACCAACTCCTTTTATGTTAATCAGTCGCTATATAAAATCTGTTCCTGTCAGATAGCTCTTCCTGGTTAATGACATGTGACTCTCTGCTTCAGGAAGAAATGTATTATGAGAAACAAAACCATAAGAATGGCCAATAATCTGGGAGATAGATTCAGGAAAGGAAAGGTTAGGAAATTTGAAGCTCCTTTTTTTTTTTTTCTAAAGAGGCTAATGTTCATAGTGTTTCTGTATGTGTACACAACTTTTCCTCAGTCTGACACTAGAAATTTCATGAAAAAGGCAACTGTGTCAGACTGAGGAAAAGGGGATGATAAAAGTAGCCAAGAGATAGAAAAATTGTACATACAATAGCTTATAGCTCATAACTTATTAGACACTACAGCAAGCATGTGTAAGAGGACCTTTATAAGTGACCCAGCTGGAAAAAAGCTTTTGCCAGAGCTCACACAAGTATAGGAAACACTGCAGGAGACAAGCCTTTGTGCTTTTGGAGCTCCATGTTTTACACTAAATGTACAAAGAATGAAGGACGCTTTTTGGCTGAGATGTTTCTGTCTGCTCAGTTAACTGAGTTGGCAACCAGGTTCTTTACGGTTTGTGCTGAAGGCCCATTTCAAATTTAGAGTTCAATCTTTACTTAATAGTCTAACTAAGAGTGAGTGAGCATACCCTGGAAGTTAGGGAGGGAGAAAGATAACAAAAATCTGCGTGGTTGCAACCCAGGGAGTATGGGTTTTAGTGCTTGCTGCACCCCTGATTTTCTGACTTCACCTCTCCTTACTCAGTTATCTTCGGCACCCAAGTCACTGAAGAAGAGCAGTTTATTTTGCTAAGGCCTTTTACTATATATATCCTGCCATTAAGGTGACCTTTTCAGCCATTATCACATGCTAGGGCTATAGTTCTTACTCTTCTTGTAAGATATTGAGGCAGTTTTGTCTAGAAAGAGTGGATTCATTCAGTTTTTTTTCTTACTCGCTCCAGATAAGATTGCAGAGAGGAGGCGTTTCGCAGTGAGGTTTTGGTGGAGGTGTGGTTACAACTGGTGGTATTGGTACTCCATGGCATGACTTGTTGTTATCAACGATCCAGTGATGAGCCATTTGGGGACAGGAAGAAATGATCTTACCACTTGGTAAGCGGCATTCATCTAATACATTATTTGTACACGTTCCTGGAAGAGACAAGCTATGTAAGTCCCATTAGACACATCAGCGATGCACAATACATTATTGAGCTGATATCACGTTTGGACATGAGGTGCTTATGAAGTGTACAAGGTGCCTTGCTTCATAGTGAGTGCTTTCTTTACAGTTATATTAACTTTAATTTAGGTTAGGGAAAAAGCAAACAAACGTAAAACCCCAGACCCAAAGAAAAAAACCCCACATTGCTGAAATATTGAGCTTTTGATCCTACAGAAGTTGAAGACGAGAATTGTTTTCACTTCCATTTTACTGCAGTTCAAAAATTTCTGTCAATCATGAGACTGCATAGTCAGAGTGGGTGAGAATAACCACAGTAGGGTGGGGAAAGAGTCCCACCTCCAATTAGTGCATCTGTCTTACCACACTGTCCTTCAGTGTTGTTGCCAAATTTACTGTATGGGAGTTTCACGGAGAAAATCAGCCCGCTAAAGGTGATGGTTGCACCAATCTCTGGTATTTCAACAATCATGTTGATGCCAAGTGTGGAGAAAGAAATGCCATCTTTTTTGAAGCCTGGTTTGACAATCTTTTGGTTGAAGTACATCTGAATGCAGGGTTAAAAAAAACCACAACTTCAGAATAAGCACTGCTTCTGCCTGCTTGTTTTAAATAATGTATTTTCTAATCTTCATAATCATGCATAACTCCATATTGTTGTGCACCACATCCAATGTCCATTGGCATCGCAATAACAGCATATATGCATTAATATCTCAGCTTGTATTGCAATATTGCTAGTGTGATAATAATCTAAGTGGCCTCTATGTACCGTGTTTGTGCAGATTGTGTGCTAATGCACAGCATTCTAAATCCAAGTATTTTCTTTGTATCCCTCATCATTTTGTTTATTGTAAACATTTTTCATATGAAAATGGGTGGTGGTTTTCTTTAACTACAGAAATATTCCTGCCATTGTTATGTAATAACTTTACAAAAGTTATTTTTGTATATATTTACAAAATCACACTGTCCCTATACTACATGTTGCTTGGCATTGGAAGAGTTGTCTGAATTCAAAATGAAGTCAAATGTCTCTGGTGCCAGTTTTATGTATCAGTCATATTTATTCATTAATCTCAGCTGTTCCATTTGCAGCCTCTATCTTATATGAGCTATGAAGGTGGACATACTTGCTTAATAACTTCTGGTCAGGAATTATTCTGCAACTTTCTTCATATTGAATTGGGATAAAGAAAGAGTTAAAGCTGTCAGTTACTGTTTTCTTTCACAGGGAAGCATGGGACTAATTGCTTCAGCATGCCTTTCTGACTGTAGGTAAGGAAAACTTGGCATGGCTCTGCAGGAGTAGAGTGCATATTGAGACAAACTTTTCCTCCCACCTGTTTGTGTTCTCTAATCAATTAGTAAATTTCCCAGTGTAACAGTGGGACTGACTTTTTGTTTTCACTGGCTTACCAGCACTAGTTTAAGATCATGAAGGTGAAGTGACACCCCCAGTTACCCCTTTTCTTCAGCTATACCTCTCTTCCCAGCAGGGAACTGGAGGGGGAATCACGTCATGGCTCTGGTGCCTGAAGTTCCCTATGCAGAGGAAGCAGTCCCTAGTCATCCAGCTGATGAGGCATACATACCCATCTTCAACATGAGAGAAGAATCACACTTGCGATTTGCATTCATGTTTCTTTATAATGTGTTTGTTTACATAAGTGAATGGCACAATGTACTAGTTTTCATGAAACATGAATTAATCACCAGTGTAAGCATTTTTTGTCTTCTTTATCAGCTGTATTAGTCTGTTTCCTAGTGTTATATATACACATACATGCACATAATATATTCATATCTGCATAGTGCTAAGCTGTTTCTGACATTTTGTTCTTAGATACTGGTGTAATCTTTTTTTTTTTTTTCCCTAATGATACCCTCTGCCCTCATTACCTCCATGATGCAATATTCTAACAGACTGTATTTCAGATGAGACTCAGTAAGGCCTACGGATCTTATTTCTTTTTTGCAAAAATAGAGAAATAAAAAATGTGTACTTTACCACATTGGTCATTACACCATTCATGAGTTTACGGGTCAGCACCACTTCTGCAGATTTGTAGAAAATAATAATGGATTTAGGGCAGGAAAGTCCATCTTCTGAATCACAGTAGTAATTGTCAATGTAAACACGGAAGTTGTCGTATTTAGGTACAATCTGTTTCACCAGGACATAAGTGCAGTTTTCGAGGAAAGTATAGTAGGTTCCATCAAAAGTAATATAATGAGGATCACCCCATCCACTGCACACACCTGGTGGAAAGAAAATGTTTAGAAGATTAAAATGAAAATTAATGTAGAAGAAAGGATTTAGGAACTGAAGTGATTATATTACAATTTATAAGGCAACCCTAAGAAAACAAAATGCCTATATAATCCATGCAAAATTTTGCTTTTTTCAAAAAAGATTATTCCTTAATCTACTGGTGCTTACATTGACACTCGTATCGGTAACAGCAGCCATCTTCATCAGGTACCAGTATTGCTGGATATTTGTTCGCACAGGTAATTTCCTTTACAGGTGGGCAGTTTGTTGGAATTACTTCTACCTTGTTGTCTCCCTTACAGATGATTTCTGTACAGTTGGATAATTTGTATCTTTGTCCAAGCTGCAAAATGAACAAAAATTGCTGTCACAGCAGTTTGCAAACAGATGTGAACTTTACTCATATTTTTAGTTTAATGGTATATTGTTTCCAGTAATGGTGGTGTTGGAAAGGAAATTAATATGTGTTACTTCTCTTCAATTTGTGGTAGTAATGATTTGTAATGTTGACCAGAGGCATTCGTAATTCTGATCATGATATGGTCGATCAGAAACTGTTTTCCAAAATGAAGCAAAGACTAAAATGAAAATCTTCACTGATAGTACCAGGTTGTCAATATTCTACACAATTAAGGTTTTTTTATGCTAAAAGGAGATGGGAACCTTGATGCCAGCTATTTCTTCTGCATGAGGAGCTATTCTGAGGTTTGGGGGATAGGTCACAGATTAAGGGAACTGATGTCCTTATACTAGCTATGTATACTTGCACTTCACAATCAGCATAGACCATCACTATCAGAAAAAAAGAATGCATACAGAAGTACAGGTAAGAAGGCAGGAGAACAGAAACAGATACAAGCCTCCACAGTAGCTTAATTTTTTCTTTTTAGTGAAGAAACAAAATGCACAAGAAATAATCCTCTATTATTTCAGTGAGAATGTTGGTTATTTATGCAATACAGTGCATCAGAAAGTGTTTTAATAGAACAGAAGTCATTAGAAAAGATTATTGTAGCTTGCTTTCTCAGTATGAAAAAAAAATTATAAGGAAGGCACATAGAGAATTTATGTCATGTATATTGCCCATCACTAGCAACACTTATTCTGGCAATCTGCACATACAAGTTTTAAAGACTGGAGAACATTCCTTTCTGGTATCACACTAACGTTGATATTATTTCAACAATTATAAATGGACACAGAAACTACATACCTGAAGGGGTGGGTAAACAGGAGAAACACAAATGGGAGAAAAACCAGAAGTAGTATGCAGAGGAACTGATGTTGTTACGGTAGACAATGCAGGGGAAGTTGTGGTCAGGGGAGTAATAAGGCTGCAATTTCCAGTGTGTCTTTCAACTGTACATGTTGGACTACAGACGGCATAATATCTACATCCATCACTATCAGTTCTATTGTAAATCACATCACCTGAAGAAAAAAAGGAAATACAATATATACAAAGAAAAAAAAGATTTAAAAGAAGACGAAAAACTTAAACAGGGCAAAAAAATATTTCCAAGTAAAACTTCTGAATACATCAAACAAAAAAATTAGGAAAAACCTAATGACAAATACATATAACAAACTAAATAGCAGATATATAGACCGAAAAAAAAGGTGAACTAACCAGGTGAAAAAATAGCATCGCCAATTTTACAGAAACAGGGTGTTAATACAGGGGTAGAAGAAGTGCTGGTGCAGCACGGTTCAGATGTGGTAGTAATGGTGGTAAGGCTGGTGGTGGGCAAGGTGGTGCTGCTTGGGCACTTGTCGTTTGGGCTGCAGCAGAGGACGCGGATCTTGTAGTTGAGGCACATCTTAAATTTGCCAGCCTGGTCTTCGTTCTTGCACACCAGTCCAAAGTGGACGTCGCACTGCACGACCTGTCCGATTGACTGGATGGAGACGTCGGGGTAGTCCTCGGCCCGGCACTCGATTTCCTTTGGGCGCTGACAGACTTCCTTCCCGGCGGCCCGGATGTGGTGGTAGGTTTCAAAGTCTCCCTGGCTGGGCCCCGAGGAGGGGAAGTCGACGTCGAACCATTCGCTCCAGAAGCACAGTTCGGGTTCGCAGGTGGTGGTGGACTCGGTGGTGGTGGTGGTGGTGGTGGAGGCCGCGCTGGTGGAGGATACGGTAGGTGTCGTCGTGGGGCCAGTGGTGGTGGTGGAAATTTGCAGGGTGGTTTCCGAGGAGGTGGGCAGCGTGGTGGAGGAGTAGGGCGTGGAGGTGGAGGTCGTGACTGTGGTGGAGGTCGGGGCGGTGCTGGTTGATCTGCGGGTGG